ATTGAATTGTTGGAAAGGGTTCAGAGAAGGGTTACTAGAATGGTGCCTGGGATGGATGGGTTACCATATGAGGAGAGGTTGAAATCTCTCAAGTTGTTTTCTCTTGTAAAAAGAAGTTAGTGGGGATCTGATTGAGATGTTTAAGATTGTAAAGGGAATTAGTAGTGTTGATGTATCATCTTTTTTATATTTAACATTGAGAATAGTAGGCCTAGGGAACACAAATATAAATTTTGGCAAGGTAGGAGTCATCTTCAGCTAAGACAGTTTTATTTTTCTAACAGGGTGGTTGGCCTTTGGAATGGGTTGCCTTCAGATGTTGTAGAGGCAGTAAATTTAAGTGAGTTTAAGAAAAAGCTTGATAAGTATATGAATGAAAAGGGCTGGGTTTAAAAAAATTTTATTTTATTTTATTTAATCATTTTAATTTAGTTTTGAGGATGGAACAGCCGAGATGAACCAATAGATCCCATGTTGCCACAAAATATTATATTAACACATCAGCTCTTCACTCTCTATATTCCAATGATGTTAACTATTTTCATTCCATTCTTGTAAGTCATTAATTTTCCAGAAGATATTAATTTGTTGATACATTTATCTTTCTTCACATAAGGATTCCACACCATAAAGCAATACTTGAAGATAGGGCTTCTTAAATAACTATATAACCTCTTTCATGAAGACATATGAATGAAATATAAATAAGACATAATCTTCAATTAGGCTTATAAAAAATCTTGGCTATGCGATTTGAAAACCTTGGTGAATCAAAAATTATCCTATGATTTTCCTACTTAGATTATTTGGTTTGTTTTGAATTTTGCGCAAAGCTACATGAGAGCTATCTGCACTAGTCATCCCTAATTTAGCAGTAAAAGACTAGAGGGAAGGTAGCCAGTCATAACCATCCACCACCAACTTTTGGGCTACTCTTTTAACAACAAATAGTAGGATTGACCATCATATTATAATGCCCCCATGGCTGAAAGGGCAAGCATGTTTGATGGGACAAAGATTCAAACCTACGACCCTCAAATTGTGAGTCAAGCACACTAACCACCCAACCAGGTTGGGCTACTCAGGTGAAATTGAAATAAAATACAGAGACAAGAGTATCCTTTTATATTTGAAATAGATTCATTACGAGAATGTTCAACTGAATGTGAAAAAAACATCTTATCACCATTCCAAGCTATCCAAAGGCTTGGACACGAGAGAAGAAGTATAAAACTATAAACCATCACTGTTAAAAGAATCAGAAGTGTCAATATCATATCAGTTTGACTGAAAACACCCAGAAGCAGCATCAAAAGGATTTTATAAGGAAGATACAAGACTACAAGAACTCATAAAGTCAAAGGGTAATAATGTTAACGATCTGGATCCGATCCCTGTGGAGAGAGGGAATAACACAAATAACATGTTGTGTAGCTTTGCGCTTAACAACAATAAAAAAAGAACGAAAGCTTGCCATAAGACAAATGAAAAGTTTGTCATAAGACAATGCGATTCGGTTCATGAAAATGTTCAATCTCTCGTTTCTTCCCAATATTTATAGATAACTTACAACATTACTATAAACTTAATTGTTAAGTAATTCGCTCAGTAATCCAAATTGACAAAATTGGCAAGATGGCTAAGTCTGGAAAGAGAAGTATGTTGGAAATATGATGCGTAAAGCAGGTCTTGAACACAGGTAAGAAAATTAAAAATGGATAGATCTTGGAAAAATGAAAAGTAGCTGTAAAGATAGCCCCATAACTTTGAATAACCAAACAACAAAAGAGATCTAAAGTGTCTTGGATAAAGTAAGTGTGTCGCAGATGTGACTACTGATCAGTGGCTCCTGACATCCAGTTCACGGTTTTGAAGCTCTTGCACATACACTCAATGAACTTATTCTGTCTGAGGACTTAAGCAGTTTAATACTTTTTAATTAAGGTATAGCAAATCAATGTGTTTTGGAAGTTCTATTATTTAATGTCAGTTTCATTAACAGTATTGGTTATAGTGCTAAATGTACATTATTTATATTTTTTATTACTTTTCAATTTTTTATTATTAAGATTACCATGAATTGTTAGCATAGTACAGTTTACGGATTTATTGCACACATTTTTCTTTTAATTTTTGACTTAAGTAGGTCTATATTGCACAACAAATGTTTTTATGAAATATATTTTAGTAAGTTATAAATGGGTATGTTGTATAAAAGTAATATTGTTAAATTGAGGAACCACCAAACAAATTCAATGGTTTAGTTAGATTGCTACCTGGATGTAAGAGAATTCAACTTTATTGAACTGAAGTATTTGTATGTGTATTAAGTAACAAAGATAGGTTTGTTACCTGTAGATTACACTGTGCATTAGATGGTTAAACTGACCATAAGATTTTATGGGGATTATGGCCAAAAATATAATGAGTAGATTTCTTTGATCAGAATTTAATTATAATCACTAGTATTCTAATTAAAAGTAAAATCTAATGAGAAGTTTACTGGTCATATTTTTAAAGTTCTTCTCATAAAATGTTTAGTTTTTACTATCATTAATTTAAAAATAATTATTATAACATAACACTATGATAATTAATTACCCAGCAGCTTTGCATGTTTTACAGTAGCCATATTAATGGGATACTGGTTTTAAAGACATATATAATACAGATGATTCACTGCAAAACTGCTGGGTTGGAGCTTAATTTAGTTAGATCACATTGCCCCAAACCCCTATAGAACTATTCATGTGATGTTCATTTCTAAAACTTGGAATCTCTAATATTGATTTTCATTGGTGTAGTGTACTATAACTTTAGTGACTTTCTTTATATTCCTATGACTATGCCCTAACTTACTAGTAGTATTAGCATTTAATTATTACTAATTTTATCATTTTGTGATTTACTGATTTAGCAGGTTAGTTTAAAGGCTATTACTAACTAGTAATGGTTGATCATCATCCAGGACATGGTCTTCTATTAAGTAACCGATTGAATACCCATTTTCAATAAATTTAGCTATTGAGTTTGAATCTCTTGTATCTCTTTTCCCACCATTATTATGTCGCGCTCTATTTGCATTTGAAGCTGGTCCCATGGATGAAGACGACAAACTGCGATATCTTCTACACACGTTGGGCCTAAAAATATTATTATTAATATTAGGATCCAAAGCCTCCTCATCCTCCATAAAGTAGAGTCTAGAATTTTCTAGAGTAAATAATTCTTCTTCATGACTTAGATTACGATCTATGCTACAAAAGCTTTTATGAAACGGATTGTTTGGTGCCACATATTCTCTTGGACTTTGACTTTGCCCGACTGAAACACACGAACTGACACATTGATCAACGCCCTCCCGATGTAAGTTTAAAGATCTTTCCATATCACTGAACGTCTTGTAACTGTATGTTGTATCAATGCATCTTCCTATTACACAAATCAAGAAAGTAGATTTTTTAAAACTGTATACGAGCTTATCGGGCTATAAAAGTACATTAAAATAGTAATGGAATTGTAAGAATAGTGCTACAATTTTTTAAAATGATTAAAAGCACGTCCCACAACACTACCACAAAGTAAGTCTTCTAGTTAGGAAATTTTGTGTTATCAAAGGAATGTATATGTAATCAAATTAGGCATACGTCAACTATATCATGACTAACAGTTCAATCACAAGTGTAGATTACGGTAGCGTTATGGTAACACTCTCTGGAACAAAAACAAAAATCTCTTTTTATAACAATATAAATAATATTAGCGCTCTAAAATGTGCATATTTCACATACTGTTACTGTAGTAATGCTTTTTAAGTTGTATAAACCAAATGAGAATACTAAAACAATGTTTAACTTTGATGAAGAGAACACTTAAATAGGTTTTTGAATTCAATCACTGTATTAGCAGGAATTTTGTATTTGAAAGTAAAAAGGTTATTATAAACTTCTGAAAGTCACAGGTTAGTTCTTATGAAGTTTTCTTAAGTATTATGTGAGTTTTGATATTCATACTACACAACAATAAAAATATGGCAGAAAAAGCCTAAAAAAAAAACAGAAAAAAAAAAGAAATCTCCTCAATGGCGAAGATGTAAAATCAGAAGATTTTATAACGCAAAAACCGGGTTTTGATATCCGTGATGGGCACAGCACAGATAGTCCATTGTGTAACTTTGTACTTAATTACAAATAAACAAAAAATTTCAGAAAAATACTTCCAATAAAACATTAGAGATATGGATTCGATATTTTGAAGTATAAAAGTACTATAAAGGTTACCCTTCCGATATTCAGTTAACGTAATGCAAACTGGAGTATACATATAAATTTCAATATACATCCATATTTCTTCAGCAAAATTACTTAGAAGTGATAAGTCAGTGAAATAGCTCGTCTAATTATGCAATGTTTTATTTAGCTTGAATTTATATATTTCTTTTTATAAATTGATGTGCATGGCGACATGTTTAAATTGGTTCTGTTATCACCGATAATTGTTTTGATTATTGGAGTATTTAACCTTAAAGTTGAAATAACACCATTGGTTAGTTTTGTATTCCTTCAATTACATTAAACAAACCCTTTATACTTACAGTTTAGTTTAACTTCAAATATAATAACACTTTCGAAGAATTGCCTTCTCTTTTGTCTCTTCTATGCTCCTGTAAGCGATGTTTGCTCTCTATTTATCAGATGTTTTTTTTTCATGTTTTTTGTTGTTGTTTTATTGTCGTGTATATTTTACATGTATGATTTATATGTATAACCTTTATTTAATTAACTTGGGAACTTGTTAGTATGGAAAATCCAGGCCGTGATAAATTAACAAATATTAATAAACCGAGAATGCAGCATTTCGAATATTCCGATGATGAGTTCCAGAGCCAAAACAGATCAAAGGAACAACAAATAGTTTACCAGACACTAGAAAACAGGAATTATTTGGACTTAAGGGGCAAATTGTAGCTGAGAATACTCCATCTGCTCCCAAATAAGATAAGAAGTTCATTATTTAAAGAAATTAGCCCATGACTTAATGTATATATTGATGGTCTTTTAACGTGTTGATTTATACTGTGTTTACATCTGCTATTGTTTGGCTCGATTTGGTAATGAAAAGTGGAAATTTACTTTCAGAGATGAATCAAAAGGATGGATTGGTGTGAACAGCAAATAGTCGCAAAGTTACAGCAAGAGGATGGTTCGAAGTCACCCTCACTGTGGAAAGCTTATCTACATAACATGATTTGGAATAATTGACATTGCACAAGAGAGTGTTTATTGTGAATAGATTTTATTTGGAAACAAGATATGAGTTGCTTTAAACAGTTTCACAATCCACTACCAGGAAATTGCTATGTAGTACATGACAATTACAACACTAGACTTTAAACTAAGGTGTGAAATACTCATACCAGCACTTGTTAGGAACAACTTTACATCTAACGACTGGGGATGGTAGAATCAAACAATCCAGCTTGTTCTGGAGGATTACTGTTTGGAATGACTCTTGTGAATACGAAGAATAAGGATATCGTACTTAGGGCCATGAACACAGCAAACCATACAATCCAAGTCAATTATGGATGGAGCACCACAAAATGTGATACTGTACAAATAGTACTTCCACATTAAAGAGCATCAAAAGTAGTCACTTTAGAAACAAAATATTGGAAATCGCATGTCAAATCTTCATATAAAGATAACTTATCGCCTCAATTACAGGATTTGTATGACAGGAGCTGTGGGAGTCTTGTAAATTATCAATGCCACAGATTACATGATTTGCTCGTAAAATAACAAAATACCTCCTCACTAGAGTTAGTGACTCAGGCTAGATAAATAAAATATATGATGAGGTTGATTCTGGAGATGCAGCTCCAATATGCCATTTGACCAGATGACTTCTATTTGCAAAATATAGAAAGGCTCTCGAAGAAAGGGAAACCATGAAATAACAAGTAGTTGAATCGAGTAATAGTCTTTTGGCATTGCCAGTTGTACACTGAGTGGTCACGAGTAAATAGACACCTAATTTTTCGCCATTTAACTGATTTATGCTAAC